TCATCATTACTAACCCGATTTCATCGAGAGCCATTTTTCGATCGGATTATTACTTGTGATGAAAAATGAGTTCTTTAGGGACAATAGGAAAAGGTGTGCTCAGTGGCTTGATAGGAGGCTTGTGCTCATACTCCAAGGCCATCATTTCATCCACGGAAAATTTTAATAACAGTTTGATGGAATGTGACTGGAGTAATTCATTATTTATTCCTTCGAACTGGGGAGACAATTACAGCCGAAAAGTACTGCCAGTACATTGATGAAATGCATGAAAAATTGAAAATTATACGCCCATCACTTGTTAATCGGCATGGCCTAATATTTCTTCACGACAACGCCCGGCCGCATATGTCGTACAAAACAATTGCGAAATTAAATGAATTAAAATATGAAATTTTGCAGCACCCAGCTTATTCACCGGATCTTTCGCCAACCGACTTTCATTTTTTTAAACATTTAGAATAGTTTTTACGGGTTAAACAGTATGAAAATGAAGACAGAAAATGAAGACTAAAAAATTCCATATCAGTGTTTATTGATTCTAAAGATCAGAATTTCTTTAAGACAGGCCTCTATGCATTAAATCTCTTGGGAAAAGTGTATTGAAACAAATGGAGCATATTTTGATTAAATAAACAGCTTTTGAAAAAAGATATGCAGTTTTATATTAGGTGTTGGAATTAATTCGTAGCGTTTTACAAGTGATGGGAAGTACTTTCATTAATGTATTTTTTAATGCTCATGTGAAATAAATAACATTCTTTCATTAAAAACGCTACGAATTAATTCCAACACCTAATATATTCACTTAAAAATCCGACATTTCATATGCACCAACCTAATACTACCTTTGAAAACGTCTCACGCTATGAACTATTACGTTTCAATTCAACAGGATGAGGCGTGCGAGAGACAGTAAGTTTATTCAATTTTTATAAAATTTTGGTTATACATTTTATACGTTATGTATTTTTCTAAGATCTATTTACATGTTTTCTATTTTCTAGAGCGCATCTTCTCGTATATCTTTGAAACCTCGCTACATACCTTATATCTTGATGAGGAGATATGCATTGACATTGACAGTGTATAAGTTCTTGGACATCGGGATCATCGTGGAACCTACGTCTCATGTAGAAATTGCGATTAGCGACAATCGAGGCAACCGCATAATCCTGCCTCATGCTACGTGGAAGACGAGAGACGTGCAGATTAATGCAGTCAACTGTCTCATCACCACCGATTCAAGATCTGAATGTAGAACTTGTTAAAGTATGTGATACGAAAAACGTAAAATTGTCATTATATGGTACATGCTCGTACATGAAACCAACAACCATACTCTTTTTAATTGAATTTATAGCACGCATGCTTAATCAATGTGTCGAGCATGCGTGCTATAAACTAAGTCAATGTACGCATGGTATTAGTGAAAAATTCAAATATTTTATTTCATTTTTAAGACAAAGTTATATTACTAATAAATGCGACATTGCAAACACTTTGCATAAAATTTATGATAAAAATTCTATTATAGAATGTGAATTAGTAGTCTATGATTTAAATTATATTGTACATGCTGCATTAAATATTAGATAAATAAATCTGTATTAAAAAATATATTTCTTTGAAAATTTATCTTTCTCCTACTCTCTTCATCCTTCCTTCTTCATTACATATTATATCTGCATGATATTAAATTACTTAATAAGAAAGCGTTTGACTAAGAGAGAGAGAGAGAGAGAGAGAGAGAGAGAGAGAGAGAGCGACTTATGCCATTAAAATATTATTAAAATTGTAATCGTATCATTCTATTAATATTTAATGTTTATTAATATTTCAAATCAATTGTGTTAATGCCGACAATCATATCGGCACGTAATTATCATTTCTGAAATTAATTCATTTGTTTGAAAATATATATATTAGTTCGACATCTCAATACTCAGACCGTAGTGGCGCTTCGAATTTTATAGTAATGTTATTTAACATGAACAGTCTTGTTTCCTATCTTATTGTTTATACACGCGCGCTAAAAAAATGCGTTACTCTCTATACATATTGGTTATTGCGAAGAATTATTGCTAAGGTCTCGGTAGTCTAAAGGCTCAGGACGCTTGCACGGAATGCAAGAGATCCGGGTTCGACTCCCGGTCGAGGCAATATTTTTCGCAATAAGTTTATTACAGTTTTTTAAGATTAATTTGGGAAATTTGGGGGATTATTAATATTTCAGATCAATTGCGTTAATGCCGACAACCATATCGGCACGTAATTATTTCTGAAATTAATTCATTTGTTTGAAAATATATATATTAATATATATATAGAAAATATATTATATATATAGAAAATATATATATACGAGGGGTATCCAGAAAATAAGTTCCGTTTGTATTATACGTTTAGTAAAGTCGATGTATGAGCGAGCTGGCAACACAGCATTGAAGAGGGGAAGCTACCGAATAGAATGAGCGGTGTTCGGCGTCAGTAGCTCGTGAAA